TGTACATCAAGCATTCATCGACATACATTTCATATTTTAACCATATTTTAATTTACCGTCTCCACCACTTTCGGGGTGTGTGCTAATTCATTTGAGACTCCCGGCCCTTCTCCACCCTCTGTGATTAGTCTGTTCCTAGGAGCCGTTGCTGTTACAATGAAGTGAAAGTCACTTAACGGCTTATAGCATTTGTTTACATTGTATCAATTACTTTAAGAACAAAGTCAATTAACTTGTTTGTAAGTTTTACGTAGTAATAAAGTATTTTTCACAGGACAGATACAATCAATGGTTTCTACAGACAGTAGCTTACAAGTTTTAACAGAAGACCCAAGAGATTTTTGTACTTGGTGAAACTGTTGGATTTTAAAGTGTGGGGGACAAATTATGGGGGAGGGCACTGTCTCTTGGGGGAATCACTGTTAGTATCTTCTTTAATATCCCTACATAACCCCCCTTTGACATTACGATATTTATATAATCGTTAGTGTCACTTTTTTTTAACCTGTTTAAGAGAATGTACTGTGAGGCAACATGCGTTTGTGATTTTAATTTAGCATACATTTTTTTATTTGAAAACACATGTCACACATACCAATTATACAAATACAATTTAATATTAAGACTACTATTAAGGGGTGTAGCATTACTGATAGGATGCCAGTGGTAGTTGGGGACCATCCAGAGAATATATTATACTAGTGGTAGGTTGTAATTTGTTTCTCTGCGGTGGCAATTTGTAACATGTTCCCATTGGCATGTATAATATGAATAGTCTGATTTTCTACTTGGTCATCTGTTTGTTTTAAAAATTTGGTTACTTTTTTTGCTTTTAATGAGGCTATCAGTAAGATTTTGCCATTTAATTTTAAGGTTAATCGAGAAGTTGGCCAGCTCAGCTGTTAGTGTTAGCTGGGACCTTTTTGGCCGCAGTAAATAGTAAGTGTGATTTCTAGTAAAAACAGTACTGACATTGCATTTACATTTATCTACTGGGGGGCTGCTAACACTTCCATCCTTCCAAAATACTTCCTCCCATGAGTGAATACATACACATTGTTCATTGTACAATACTTTGGTGTTATTATTTAATTTATCCCACATACATGATTCCAATGAAACATTTTTACTACAAGGCTTTGGGGCAACAGGTAAGGTGAGGCATACCCACTTTTGAGGAGTCCATTTGGTACAACCTCTAGTGTTCAATAGTTTTTTTTCTTTCCCAGCCCACTGGCTCGAGGTCCAAGGCAGCCAGAATGATCCCATGTGTAATATGGGGAGTGGGCTAACCTTTCATACCTTTGCCTCTAGAGACTGTTGATGTGCTATTTTTACAATTATTCTTCCAATTAACAAGTTTGGTTTCACAGTGCTGGAAACATACTGCATCCAGTTATATTGGTAAGTATTAAACAGAGATTTTTTTCTTTGTTTTAACAAATGCATTAAAACGTTAATATTACCCAAAATTACCCAAAACATCTTGTGTTCCAAAGTAGATAGGGCAAGCATCTGCATTTCAGTGCATCCCATATGAATGGGTCGCACTTTATGTAATTGTTTCAAGGCAGAACCAACATAACAGTTAGGATTACTAATAGGACAATGATGGAATGAAAAATTATATTTAGAACTGCTGACCAGGTGGGCTGCTTCTACAACACTTTGCCCCTTTATTTATGATTATTACAGTAGTTGTTGTTATTGTAGGGCACAGGTGATCTGTTGCAAACAAACCAAACAATTATAACCAGGTGAATATAACTAAAACCATTACAATTGCCTAAACACCAGATATAACCTAAACACAAATGCAAACAATTATAGTTATAATAATTGGGAATACAATAAAACCATTACCATTATAATAATTGGGTACATTGACAAATAAAATGAGGCCCAAGTTTGATGCTGCAATAGCCATCAAACAATAAAAGTCACTGCGGTTAGGACCTTCTTAAGCACACACAACAAATAAGATTTTGTAGGAGTACCACAGTTGTTATACAAGGTTAAGCTGATTTGGACTTAAACTAACATTTAGTTGCTAAAATGTTGCAGAATTTCCTATTTTTAACAGTTGTTTTCAAGAGGTCTCTGGGGACCTAAAAGATGGGGCATTGCAATTATGGGTCAAAGTCTTACAGGTGATGGGGGCCCAAGAACTACCCAAGAACTACCAAAGTCTTACAGGTTATGGGGGCTTGGGGAAGTAGAACCAGAGTGCATAGAGGAAAGTGTGGAATTAACAATACAAGCAAATGTAACTAACAATACAAATGTATTAATAACAAAAATTAACAAGAAAATGACTATTAGAGAAACTAACAAAAAAAAATAAACCCGTTGCACTGGGGACCAAAGTCTTTTGGACACGAGTGGTGATTGATAAGTTGGATGGACATGGGGGAAGTAGAGAGAAGAAAAGACATTTTCCCTGTCTAGTGTAGTATTCCCTCTTTCTTTGGACCCAATGCTAGCACAGGACACTACTAGAGACAGACACAGAACATGCAACACAGAACACTGAACACAGGCTTTGTCGCGACACTATAACTATGGTATTTTATAACTTTTTAGCTGGTACCAGCTCTTTTGATGTTTTGGTTTAGAGCCTGAAAGATAGAAGCTTAGAAACAAATTAGCACAGTGCTCCCACCATGGCAGACCCTGCTCAGTCTTTGCCACAATGTGTTTGGTACTTGGGGCTGCACAAATGCTAATTAAGTGGTGCATTTCTTTGTGAGTTTACATTTTTTTTATTTTAAAATCCCCAGCCACTTTGCCATGGCCTGAAGGTCTGAGGCAGAAGCAGGCACTGTTGTTACTGTTGCAATGGCATTCTGGCCCTGGGAGGAGGAATCTACCCAAATATTCCCCTTCCCAATCTTCAGAGGGGTCCCAAAAGTCTGCCTTTTCTGGGGTCTCAAATGTTCCTTTTCCTGATATTACTGCTGCTGTAAAATTTGAGAGTGCTGTTTTAACTTTCTGTACACAACCTTAAGGGCATCTAACTGGGTTTGGGTACTAACGGACATACATTTTTTATTTCTCTGCTTTTCAGCAGAGGCTTCTAAATTTTGGTGCAGTTTTTTATTTTTACATTTAGCCAATTGAAGGAATACCTTGTTACAGGTCTTCCATAGAAGCCAAACTGCGGCTGCTTTCTTTTTTATTAAAGTTAAGGGTTTACATATTAATAAGTACCTAGCCAATTTGGTTTTTTTAGGTTTGAAATTGTATGGACATCAGCTTACACTTGATCAGACCAAGGGCTGTGTTTGGATTTTTGCAAGATTTGGTGCCATTACTTTTTAATTTTCTACCCCTTTCCCCAATTGGGATAGTTTTTTTGTTTGTTTGTTTGTTTGTTTTTTTTACAGGCTGTTAGGCGGAGGTAGCTGTGACTACCAGCCTCCCACAGCAGCCAGATTCCTGCAGCATCTCTTTTTGCTGCATTTGGGGGTTTATATATGAGGATATATTGGGCTAATCTATCTTCTAGATCCGAAATAGAGCAAGCATCTGCAAGGGCTTGTTCAGTCCAAGGACTGTGCCCATATCTCTGAAGGATTTGTTTAAAGGGTGTTATTTCTTTTACAAAAGGTGAGGTTGGAGCTCCTTTAAACTCCATTCCTTCCTCTGAGACTGTTTTTCCTTGTCTTTTCTTAAACATTTTTAACATGTGTATAGTTTCCTTTGTTACCCCTGAACCCTTGCAGCGAGTGACACAGCCTAAATTATTTTATTCTGCTACCTCTGGTCTAGTTCAGCGAGCAGCTTTAAACACTTTGAATATGATTAATTGTAGCTTAAAGTTTTTATGAGCTCTTTTATGAAGCCTCTACCCTCCAGAGGTCAGTAGGCTTTGGTTAACCAAAAATAGAACCGCTCTCTATAGAGCCGGCTGTGTGCACAACAATATTAACAATACCTGAGGCTTTTTACCAATATTCCCCCTTTTGCAATTCTCCACCAAAATGTTATACCAATAGAATAATAACCAGCAGGATCTTATTAAGAGGGATAAGGCAAAGATGCCACATTTATTGTAAATATAATGATAAAGCAAAAGATAAAAGTAAACAATGTTGTTTGACTACTTATTTCTTACACACACACACACACACACACACACATACATTTATTTATTTAAGTTTTGTATAGGAGTTATAGTTACCAGCCTAGAAGTTGCTCATGCCAAGTTACTAGCCAGGTATCTTGGTCATGAGGATGGAGCTGAGTCTGTGTCAGATGCACCTGATGCTCCTGGAGGTTGGCAGCAGAACCAGAGACTCAAAGTCCTCAGTCTTTAGAGTCCATTTTTATAGGAATTAATTCCTATGTTAGTCTATGGGAGCTGTTTCATTGTGCTGTTGCTGACTTAATTAGCTGGTGGCTCCCAGTCCACACTGTCCAAAGTGGCGCATTCCTGGTGGCTCCACACTGTCCAAAGTTTGTTTCTCTCATCCTTCCAGGTGATGGGGTGGATCCTAGTTTACCCTCCGGGGGTTGTCTGGTAGTTCACTTGACACGTTCTTTGGCCGATGGATACTCCCTTTCTAGGCTGGCACCTCCCTAACCATTCATGTACATCAAGCATTCATCGACATACATTTAATATTTTAACCATATTTTAATTTATTGCTCCACCACTTTCGGGATGTGTGCTAATTCATTTGAGACTCCCGGCCCTTTAATCACAGAGGGTGGGGGTCTGTTCCTAGGAGCCCTTGCTGTTACAATGAAGTGAAAGTCACTTAAAGGCTTATAGCCTTTGTTTACATTGTATCAGTTACTTTAAGAACAAAGTCAATTAACTTGTTTGTAAGTTTTACATAGTAATAAAGTATCTTTCACAGGACAGATACAATCAATGGTTTCTACAGACAGTAGCTTACAAGTTTTAACAGAAGACCCAAGAGATTTTTGTACTTGGTGAAACTGTTGGATTTTAAAGTGTGGGGGACAAATTATGGGGGGGGGGGCACTGTCTCTTGGGGGAATCACTGTTACTACCTTCTTTAATATCCTTACATAGGCTGAAATACTACAGTACTTTTGTATATAATGTGCCTCTTCTCAGTGTACTCCTTCTCCTGTGAGAGTCTTTGTTTCTTTATGTGATGTAAAAGTCTCAGTAATTTTCAGTCTAAATGTCTTGGAAAGATAAAAATACAAAACAGGATCAAAACAGAGGTTTAACACTGCCAACAGCAGAGTGGATTCCTTTGCTTTAAAGAGGGTTTGTTTCAGAAGACAATCAGTTATAGCATCACTCTGGCTCAAAGTATAGGGGATCCGAACAACGTGGTAAGGAACGAAACACATGATGTAGCCTGCCGTTACTAACAGTATATTTACCTGAGCTTTCTTTACATTTGCATAACTCTCGCTGTATTTGTTTCGGTAAAGTTGTCTAACAACAAGAAAATTGGAAATAAGTATCATGGCTGAAAAATTCAGGAATATTGCTGTACATATGAAATTAGTAAACACATGCCAATCTTTTCCAAATGTTGTTTTGAAATCAATACACCCCACAGTAGGCTTTTGTTCTATTTCCTTGATTGGAATCACCATGTTAGGTACCATTATAAGGAGAACCATTATCCATACAACTGCAGATAACATCTTGGCAAATCCAGGTTCTTGGATTCGATAGATCTTAGTACTGTGCATTAACTGAAGGCAGCGGTCCATGCTTACAAATCCCAAAAATATGATTGATAAATACATGTTAATATAGATGAGGCAAGCTGTGACTTGGCAGTGGAATATCCTCAGTTTCCAGGGGGCAATACCTAAGTCAACAATTATTTTTACTGGCAATGCCATAGTCAACAGGAAGTCAGCTGTTAGGAGGTTAATTAGATAGATGCTCATACATTTTTGTTTCTGATCCTTTTGAGTGAACGCCCATAGGGCAAAACAACTCCCAATAAATCCAATGAGGAAAATTAAATAGTAAAAATAGGTAAATGGTTCCATTTGTGTGTAGACATTGCAATTTGAGATATTGCTTAAGGACATTTTAATTATCCTGTGGAAAAGTAAGGTGTGTTGGCTGCTTAAAGATATCCAGAACCTAAACAGAGAGAAAAGCAAGACATTAGAGATAATTAGTGTGAGAATTTTGTCCCAGTATAATTTCATAAAAATGTGTGACTAGACTTGGTAATGATTTTAGCGAAACTAAAGTATTCCAGTGTCTGGAATAGTTCATATTACATTGCATGGGTTTCATTCATGTTTAAGCAATTTATTGAAATATCTTGGGTCCCTTTCCTGCAAACACTTCTGCTTGAGTACGTTCACTCATGTGAGCAGTCCATTTAAGTGAATGGGACTATTTGTGTGTGTAAAGTTACTTGTGTGTCTGCAGCGGGGCTGCCCCTGGGGATTTTTCTCCTCAGGGTGGAAAACGTTTTCAGTGTCACCCAGCAGTTTACCCAAAATAAATAAACCCCAAAACAAAACCACACAACAACAGATGAGTGGAGCAGCAGAGTAAAATGAATAACTAAATAGACTGAGTGATGTGCACCCCACAATGGTGATTTGGCACCATTAAAAGTTGTGACTCGGGGTGATCACCTTGCCCCTAAGACTGGCCCTGGTTTTACTGGATCAGGGACCTAGTTAGTTCATTGGAGCCACATTAAAATGTACCTTTTTTTTCAAAAAGATGACACTTTTACTCAACAAAACAAAAACTAACAAAAAAACCAAACCAACCCCTCCCCCAAATCCCCCCAGTTAAGTTAATGTTTATAAAAATACTTTGTATATAAAAATATTATAGGATTAGTAAACATTAATAATACTCTGTCAAAAGCAATATAGGGTCTGTCCAATAGATAGAGACAGCAGAGTAGCTGTGCTCGGTACTAAGTATTTCTAAAACTGTGGATTCTTCTAGTTGAACCAAAATATATATATATATTTGATGAATATTTTATGTAGTTCAGAAAACATTTAAAGAATCTGTCAGTCATTTGCTTCATATTTTCAGGCTTCATTGGACATTTAGGGAAAGGAAAGTGTATTTGCTTAGACGGGAATCTAAGTATTATTTTAACTATCTGAAACTACCATTGTATATCAGGGGTTTTTTTTAGTAGCTACACTGGCATTAACTTTAGTTGGAACATGTTGACTGAAGAGGAAATGACTGTGTTAAAATTTTTTTCTGAGAAATAAGACAGGGAAGCAAGTCTTTGTTGAAATAGCATTGAACCATACCAGCTTTCTATTTATATAGTACAGTCTTTTTCATTTGCTAAAAATTCTGTTTGTTTTAGTGATCAAACATAATTCTAGGTTAAATGTTGCATGAGTAGTAACAGTTGACAATAAATCAATATAACTTAATTACTTAGTCTCTGTATATTGTGTATATAAAAATGCAAATACTTGAAAGTACTCATGGCTAGAAATAGAAGATCTATAATGTTATTATAATCACCCTTCTGCAAATGGAGGATATTACCCTTCCCCAAAAAAGAGATTATTAACCTGAGGTTAAATGAAGTTGAGTGCCCACAAGGTACAGAGGAAATAGTTGGTTTTGTTCCTGAGCCAACAGAAGGTGGGAGCCAAACTCCCGATACGAGACAGAATTCACTGTGTCATTCCACAATGACTGTTCTGCTGATTTCAGATGAGCTTGGGAATGAACTGTATCCAGTGCTCTTTGGCTCAGGGACTGCTCTAATCGAGGGCTTTTTTTTTTATGTGGAAGGAGCCAGGGTCTCCAAAGGGCAAGACATTCAAAACGGTTATAATGCAGTAACACTTAATAAGTGCAGTGAAAAACATTAGTGCTTTTAATATTTAACCTATTAGTTTTTCACTGCATTTGGCATATTATTTAGTATTTTATGCAATATATTTACCTTGGTGTATAAGGACATATTAAAATGTATAAAAAGCATTTAAAATACATACCTTCCTTTTTAGATTCTGAAGTCTCATAGGCATTAGAAGAAAGTTTGTAAAATGCTTGATTAGTCTCAGTAGGTAGTCACATCTTTGTCTGATAATATGTTAATCCTTTCCCCTTCGTGCGTAGGTTGTTTTTTAAAAGAAATGTCTCTGTGGTTTTTAAATGTGTAGATTGACGTAATTAAAACCAACACTCACACTAACCATGTGGAAGTTACCTAAAAGGGTAATGATAGAAAAATGTTAGTGTTCACGGAACTATCCAAAGTTGCTTTTTTCCTCTTTGGGAGAAGATGTTATGGAACAATGTTTTCTTGAGCTGAAGACAAACTGACTGCTGCTGTGATGGGGCCGTACCTTGCACAGGCCTCTAAACCTGTTAATTTCCATTGACTTCAGTGAGATATTGAGGGCACATTGCATCTTGCAGGACAAAACCAGAGTGAGCTGTGTGGGTAGAAGGCAGCAAGTTAAAGAATGGAGTTATAAACTCTGACGTGCTAATACAAATAGAATGGATTATCATGCTTTAACATTTTGGTGGCATTTGGGTAATTTCTATCACTTCAGAGCAGGGGAAGGCAAACTATGGCCCGTGGGCCGTATCCGGCCCATCAGGGCTTTGAGTCTGGCCTGCAGGATTGCCAGCCCCATGGTGCAGTGGGGCTAAGGCAGGCTCCCTGCCTGCCATGGCCCCGTGCTGCTCCCGGAAGCGGCTGGCACCACGTCCCTGTGGCCCCTGTGCGCTGCCTTCACCTTCAGGCCCTCCCTCCACAGCTCCCAGTGACCAGGAACGGGGAACCTCGGCCAATGGAAGCTTCGGGGGTGGTACCCACAGGGGAGGCCAGCCTGCCCACCCCATGCCCAGAAGCCACTGCTGGACATGCTGGCCGCTTCTGGATGCGGGGCCAGGGCAGGCAGGGAGCCTGCCTTAGCCCCGCTGCCTGCCACTGCCACCCTGGTGCCGCTCGAGGTAAGCGGTGCTAGGCCGGAGCCCTCACCCCAAACCCCTTCTGCATCCTGCA